TTTTTCCTGGAGTTTTTTTTTCTGGAATTTTCTGGGTTTTTACCGGGTTTTGGGAGCTGGGAGCACTGGAGCAGGATTTGAGATCCTGGGTTCTTCCAGGTTTGGGATTCTCCCAGATTCTCCAGGATTTGGGATCCCAGATTCTCCTGGATTCTCCCAGATTTGGGATCCCAGATTCTCCAGGATTTGGGATCCCAGATTCTCCTGGATTCTCCCAGATTTGGGATCCCAGATTCTCCCGGATTTTCCCAGATTTGGGATCCCAGATTCAGGTTCCCGGATTCTCCAGGATTCTCCCAGATTTGGGATCCCCCAGATTCTCCTGGATTCTCCTGGATTTGGGATCCCAGATTCAGGATCCTGGATTCTCCCAGATTTGGGATCCCAGATTCTCCCAGATTCTCCAGGATTTGGGATCCCGGATTCTCCCGGATTCTCCCAGATTTGGGATCCCAGATTCTCCTGGATTTTCCCCAATTCTCCCCGATTTTCCCTGGTGCTCCTGGATTCTCCCGGATTTTCCCAGATTCCCCAGGGTTATCCTGGATTCTCACGGATTTTCCCAGATTCTCCTGGATTTGGGATCCCAAATTCTCCCAGATTTTCCCAAACTCTCCCAGATTCCCCCCGATTTCCCGGGATTCCCCAGGGTTATCCTGGATTCTCACGGATTTTCCCAGATTCCCCAGGATTTTCCTGGATTCTCCTGGATTTTCCCAGATTCTCATGGATCTGGGATCCCAAATTCTCCCGGATTTTCCCAGATTCTCCCAGATTCCCCCCGATTTCCCGGGATTCTCCGGGCATCCTCACCTGGCAGTACTGCGGCGATTGCGGATCCACGTCCACGGTGGCCAGGAAATCGGGAATGTCGATCCCGGTGTTCCGGTAGATGCAGGGCAGGTACAGCAGCCGCTCCCGGGGCCCTGCGCCATTCCAGCGGTTATTCCCGGATAAACCACACCCCATTCCTGCTTTTCCCGGGTTTTTTTTTTTTTTTTCCTCCCCCCTGCCTGGATCCCAGGTAAATTTTGGGATTTGGGAATGCCAAACTTGCCTTTCATGGCCTCCAGGGGGCTGGGATAGCCCGGCCCGCACGCTCCGCATCTTCCCGCTGGAAAAGGGGAGAATTCCGGGGTTCCCGCGGCACGAAGATCCCGGGAATGTGGGGCCTTCCATTGGCTCCTCATTCCCAATTCCCGGCCCTAGATCCATGGAATTCCCCATTCCCCATTCCCAATTCCCAGCCCTAAATCCATGGAATTCCCAATTCCCAGCCTTGAATCCATGGAATTCCCCATTCCCAATTCCCTACTCCCCATTCCCAGCCCTAAATCCATGGAATTCCCCATTCCCAACCTTAAATCCATGGAATTCCCAATTCCCAACCTTAAATCCATGGAATTCTGAATTCCTAGCCTTGAATCCATGGAATTCCCCATTCACAATTCTCCATTCCCAGCCTTAAATCCATGGAATTCCCCATTCCCAGCCCTAAATCCATGGAATTCCCCATTCCCAATTCTCCATTCCCAGCCCTAAATCCATGGAATTCCCCATTCCCAATTCTCCATTCCCAGCCTTAAATCCACGGAATTCCCAATTCCCAGCCCTAAATCCATGGAATTCCCCATTCCCAGCCCTAAATCCATGGAATTCCCCATTCCCAGCCCTAAATCCATGGAATTCCCAATTCCTCATTCCCCATTCCCAGCCCTAAATCCATGGAATTCCCCATTCCCAATTCCTCATTCCCCAATTCCCAGCCCTAAATCCATGGAATTCCCCATTCCCAATTCTCCATTCCCAGCCTTAAATCCATGGAATTCCCAATTCCCAGCCTAATTCCTCATTCCCAATTCCCAGCCCTAAATCCATGGAATTCCCCATTCCCAATTCTCCATTCCCAGCCTTAAATCCATGGAATTCTGAGTTCCCAGCCCTAAATCCATGGAATTCCCAATTCCCAGCATTAAATCCATGGAAATTCCCAATTCCTCATTCCCAATTCCCAGCCCTAAATCCATGGAATTCCCCATTCCCAGCCCTAAATCCATGGAATTCCCCATCCCCGACTCCCCATTCCCAATTTTTGGGCCTCGGATTTGCTCATTCCAAGGAATAAACCACTGGAATTTATCCCAATTTTTGGCTCCCTGACTTGGCCCAAAAGCGCCAAATTAGGAGGGGAAAAGTTGGGGATTTCAGCAAGGGCTGGGAAAAAATGGGAATTTCCTTGGAATTCCAAGGTTTAATAAATATTCCAAATTCCAGGGAGGTAAATCCTGATTAAATTTGGGAAAAAAAAACCCCCAAAATTCAAATTAAAACGAGAGAGAAACCCCTGGAAAAAAAATCAAAAAACCAAGAATTTTAGGAATCTTCTCCCAAAAAAAAGCAAATTCCCAAGGAAATTTAAGGAGTTCATTTTTCAGAGCATTCCAGGATTTCTTTCCTTCCATAATTCCCATTTTTTTGCAGCTCCCAGGTCCTTTTAGGTGCGTCAATCAATCCCAATTTTTTTTTTTATATCGACTTCCAGGACCTCGGAGCCAAAACAATTCCTCGAAAAATTCCAATTGAGAGTGACAAAAAAATTCCAGGAAAATCGGGATATTTTTGGTTGGAATGTTGGGTCTTTTTGGCAACACATTCCTGCAAAAAATTCCTCATTTTTATTTTTATTTTTATTTTTTTGGCTGAGTTTGATCCCAAAATTCCTGATTTTTTTTTTTTTTTTCCCCCCCCTCTAGTTTGAATTCCCAATAATTCCCATGGAAATAATTTCCAAGTTTTGGCCCCTCCCACTTGTCCCACCGAGCCAAAAGTGAAAGTTCATGGAAATCCAAGGTTTTATCCTTAAAAAAAACCAGGAAAAATATCCTGGAAATCAGGGATTTATCCCCAAAAAAAAATATCAAGGAAAAGCTCAGTTCTGATCCTTAAAGATTTTTCCAAAGGTTTTTCCTGTTCCCAACCAGCAAATCCAGTTTTTTCCCCCAGTTTTTACAAGTTTAGGGATTCAAAATTCCCAATTAATTCGAAGGGAAATGGGATTACAAGGAAAGAATTCCAAGTTTCCAATTAAAACCCACCGGGGTTTTTAGGGAATATCAAAATCCAAGGGAAAATTGGAATTTTAGCCCCTCCCCTCCCCCCCCC